GCTTTTTTCTGCAACAGTATTGCAAATGCTACACATCTTCTCACCACCAGAAGCTCCGTTGCTAGCAAACTTCTCTGGGAATGTCAAAACCAAGATTTGGCATGTGCAGAAGAGAAAATGACTGTCAGCCAGTCAGTCAGTCTTGCCGCAGAAACGAACCATACAGTAAAATGTGCGAACAAGATTTTGCGAGTATGTTTTCATAAATCGTACAGCACTCGTTGTCAGAAGCGTCAGATTTGCGTAGCCTTTTAAATCTGAACAGTTCTTGTTATAACCCGTGAATCTGGAGGCATATTTTCCTAAGCGATTCGACCTTCTGAAAACTCCTTTGTACAAACACGACACATTCGACATTCACCCTCGCAACACAAGTAAACCCACCGCAATATTCAGATGAACCAAAATATAGCGGAACCAGAAAAGCTACATGAAAAACAGTTTTCGGCACTTCATACAAACCCAGTGTTAACGGACAATAAGTCATTGTGACCTGTTACGACTTACAATGCATGAAGCCGGACTGAAGAAGAATTTAACTCAACCCTTAGGAAGACTCAGGTCATGACACAAATATGTGATCTTGCTACCTGGTGAAGTCAATGAACTCAGGCATGAAGAACCGTAAAATATATCTATCTGAGACGGCTCATCCATGCAACGGATAAAACACTGTGAAATGCAACAGAAGAACAAAATGGCATGGAGCACTTTTCGAAGGCTGAAAACAAGGGAAACACTTTGTGCTTGAAACGGGAAGCAGCATATCCATATATAGCATATAGTAGCATATGTGTACTCCCAGCACTAACCTATGAATATGAAACGCTTAACCTAAGCTTGGAAAACATTCATCAATTGTGGACTACGCCACGGAGGATGCAAGGAGGTGGTATGTTGCGAATCTTCAGAAAAGATAGGAAGATGAGCGAATGGGCAAGAACACGAAACAGGAGTTTGTGATGTCACTGCATGAGTCAACAAGTTGAAGTTGTGGATCAGAGACAAGAGACATTAGACTGTGCGTTGTGCCAAGAGAAAGGAAGCGGCCACAGAAAAAATTTCGGATCGATATCAGAATGAGCTGAACAATTTCGATGGATCAACATGAGCTACGAATCACGAAAACAAGTTTATGGCTGTCTCGGATCGAAAAAGGCTGGTGTTACACGAAACGCTGGCATTTCAATAAACCATTTTAGTTTCGATTTTCCTTTGCGACAACAACTGACTTAAAGCATTCTTGTTCATAGTTATAAACCTGTTACACACTTCACTATATATTATTAATTGTTATTACTGGAAGCACGACAAGTCTTGCATCATTAAAGGGCACGAGGTTAACGTCAAGCACTATTAATAATTTTAATTAGCAAATATAAATTAGAGCAGGGCTGACGATAGAAAGATAACCCGTAAGCTCCAAGTCAAGTCAAATTTATTAGCTTGTGCAACGGTCGCTACTTAAGGATTAAACAGGCCCATGAAATGTATATGCACAGATGGTCAATGGCAAATGAGAATATTATGTACAAGTAATTGCTCCAGGAACTGTGGCTGCCTGAGTCTTTGCCAGGAAAGGTAGAATGGGTCGCTGGTAAAGTACTCTCAGAGCTAGAAAAGGTTGAGGGTGCCCTGATGCAAGGACGATGCACACTGAGTGTCGTCAACCAGCATCATATGACCCATGTGAGAGAGAAGTGCAGCTGCTGTTCTCGCAATGCGGCCAGCAATTTCTTCAGCAGGGATTCTGTCAATCCTAGCTATTAACATTACAGCTCGATGCCGTAACCTGAAGTTCTTTAGAATATCACTGGGCTAGACAAAGTGGTCATTAGAACGATGCATCCGTAAACGAAGCCTACTGCTTCGTTTGAAGGAGATGCAGACAGCCTGATTAGCCTCAATGTATAGTAAAATGCCGTACGTACCTGCGACAACAATAAGATCATGTAGTCAGACCAGTCCAGTACACTGTTTAGAAAATTCTGAGGTATTCTGCAGTGCCGCAAGCCGGGATTAGCTCTCCCTCTAAGCTGATACTGTGTTCGATGAGGGAAAGTAGATTAAAAGATCTGATGATGTTCATCCGGTAGGTTAGTTGGGCACTTTTCTGACGGTTAAATCTTAAACCGTTGTTCCTGAACTATAGCTGTGTTTTTCACTGCATTTTGCGGACTCCGCAGGTCCGGCTCCCTTC